CTTTTATCTAAGCATGGATAACAGGCTTTTTTTCCTTGCACTTGCATCAGTCCCTGAACAGCCTCCTCCCACAGTTCTGATGTACCTGTGGGCAGTTAGCCTCAATTTCAGATCTACTGAATTTTGGTCTCATGGTGGCATTCAAGTGTAGAAACTGAGAACCGAATTGTCCAACAGTAGCAGGTGCTTATTTTAAAAGTTTTGTTATTAAAGTTTTGTAAATCTCAGGAATAAGAAAAAACTTTTTTGTGCCATATTATTCTAATGATCCAAAATGCTCTTCTTTAGCTAATTTTATATCTATTAAGTATGGTTCAGTAAATGACTTCTAGCACAGAAGAGAAAAGTCCTTTGTTCATGTTACTCTTGTTTTTTTGTACTCTTAACTTTTCTTAACATAATATATTTAGACAAGAAAATAGAGATGACTTCAACATTTTAAAAATGAAGTATGCCACAACAGTTTTTTAAAGTTGTACAGTTTTCTAAAGCTGAATGAAGAGGGAGAACTTGGGAAGTACAGTACAGTAAGGAGAATGTGCTCTGAGTTAAAACAGATCTGGAAAGCATTAATTCTTTGCTGCTTATATTAATATAGTGTAGAAACCAAGAGAAAAGAAAGAAACAACACAAGTTTTGAGGCTTACTATTTCATAATTCTCTCTTCTGCTTTGAGTAGTTCTCTTCAGTTAAGGAGATCTAGCTCACTATATTGCCACAAATGGGCATCAAGAGAAAAACAGGAATGGGATATGCTTCTTTTGGGGTACCTTCTTTTCTAATGCAGTCTAGTCTTCATTTGTTTTCTCTTCGGTAAATCCCTGAAGTTATTATACTTTGTCAGTGTAGGATTTTTTTGCTTTCATCTTACCTTTCCCTTTCAAATACTCGCTTGGAATTCCCTTGCATCCATTTCTTATACCCGAAATGTACATTGGCAAGGAATTTAAATCCGCCATTCCACAGAGTAAGGCAAAAAGCTGTGCTCTTGTCATTGGTCTGAATCTCCTGAATTTAGTGGGAAGACACTCTCATGGCAAAAGTAGATTGTTGTGATAACATCATGAGTTTCATTGTACGTGAATGCTAACTATATAAAATCATCATTGTTAATATTCCATGTTGTTGGTTTTACATGAAATAGCCACTGCCCTGAAATAAGAAAACATGCTGAAAGGATGGGAATTGTCAACAATTTAAAGCAAATGCTGCATTGGAAAAGATGCTTCTCGCTTTTGTATCTTTTCTTGTTACAGTATTATTGAGTTGCCTCAAAATGATACAAATTGAGTTTCTTAATATTGGAAGCATGCCCTCTGGCATGTGGTTTTTGTGGTTTTTCTTTTTTTTTTTTTTTTCATGGTGGATTTTTCTTCCTCTCAGATTTTTATTTTCTTTTCCTTTCCTTTTTTTTTTTTTTTTTCCTTTCCTTTTCTTTTTTTTTTTTTTCTTTTTCTTTTTCTTTTCTTTTCTTTTCTTTTCTTTTCTTTTCTTTTCTTTTCTT